TCGCCTCGATTCTCCACTGGACCAGATGGATGGCGACAACGAGGTTGGCGGAGGTGGAGGAGCAGGCAACACTAGCCAGGAAGACATGGACGTAAAGGAGATGATGAGGGTCACGATGAAGGACATAAAGGAGATGAAACTGATGATGACGAGGAGCGAGAGGATTGCGCAGGAGGCTAAGGACGAGGCGACGTCGGCGAAACAGTCGGCATTCAAGGCGACGTTGGACACCAGCGGCCTGGAGGACAAGTTCGATAAGTTCCAGCAGTCGGCCGTTGCGAAAGAGGACGTGACCAGGATGATCGAAGAGACGATGTCTCAATGCACTACTCCGCGCAACTTGGCTACGACGTCCATTCCATCCACAGCAACGGCCGTCGTCGGGAACGTGCCCAACGCAACGACCATTGAGGATGCAGCGAAATGGGCATCTACTCTCTGCATGGACCATGGCCTTCCAGCCCTGGCGGCCCGGAACATGTACTGCAAGAGCGAGTTCAAGGGCGTGTTCTTTGTCAAATTTATGTCGGACGCGTCGCGCCAGATGTTCCTTGACACTGCCAACTCGTTCGCGAGAGGGCAACCGGGGGGCTTCGGGAACATTGTCTGGGCGAAGCCGGACCTCCCTTTCGACATCCGCATGCAGCACGGCGTCCTCTTCGGGCTCCGCCGGCTGCTGGCGACGTGGGGCTTCAACAAGACGTGCGTCAAGGTGAACACGGATGACTCCCCCTTGTCTGTCGCAGGGACCGCGGTGGCCAAGACGGCGGTGAAGGACTACCAGCTGGAGCTGAAGTGGGTGGACCAGGAGTGGGGGAAGTGGGATGCACTGCAGTCGTCTTCAGAGCTCTCCGAGATCACCGCCGGCGCCCAGGGGAAGCTCGACAGGGCGAAGGCCTTCCTCGAGAGCACAGGGAAGGGGAAAGGCCCTGGACTCCACTAGGGGTCACAGCGGCGCGTGGGCGAATGCGACGGCTCACCCCTCGCGGCGGAGAGCGGCGAGGAGGCGGACCTGTGCAAAGATGCGGGCCGCCAGAGTTTTGACAGTTTTGCGAGGATTTGCGCGTGGAATGTTGAGGGAATGACGGCTTTCAAGGAGGGCGAAATTTGCAGATATATGCGTGCGAGTGCCATCGATATTGCATGCATGCAGGAGACGCACCGGCCAAACTCTGACCACTACGACACAGAGGGCGGATATCTGGTGATCCTGTCGGGCAGCGCTGGGGCCCACCGCGAATCAGCCGGAGTGGGTTTTGTAGTCGATCCACAGATGAGGCGTAGAATTTGCGGCTCTTGGCAGTTAGACAACCGAATTGCTACGATTAAGATCCGCACAGTCTATGGTAAGATTACGCTGTGTACTGTTTACGCCCCATACAACGAGAAAGCCACAGAGGAAAAGCTTGACTTCTACGACCGTCTTCAGCGCCACGCTGTCGGATTATCACAGTATGGCCCTGGATATTTCTTCGGGGATTGGAATGCGAGGCTCGGCAAAAGACGTGCTGGGGAGGAGGACATCATGGGCGAGCACACGTTTGGGCGCGAGGCGAAGAGAAAGGTTGACCTTCCCAACCGGGACTTGTTTACAGAATTCTGCATGGACCTCCAGCTCCTCGCGGCGAACACGCTGAAATTCCACCCGGCCGATCAGACAGCGATGCACCATGAACCATCCGTTCGGCCTGGCAGTCCAATTTACGACGTCGGCTTCAATGTCTTGGATTATTTGGTTATTCCTGCTGCTCGCGAGCAGGACCTTGGAGATATTCGAAGCGACACCTCTGCTACTCTAGCTTCACATCATTTCCCTGTGCTGGCAACCATTGCGGCGGGCGCGCCAGAGACTTCTGAGCGCCGGCCAGCAAACCGGCGGAAGAATTGGGCCACCCTGCAATCGCCATCGGGGAGACGAGAGCTCACGAAAGAAGTTGGACGTCGCATGGAAGAGTCCGCAGGCGAACATAGTTTGACGCTGAGCTGGAAGACGGCGTCTGCGTCTGTCATGGCGGCCGTGGACACCACCGCGCCAGATTCCATGCGCAAGCCGAACAAACCCTGGATCTCAAAGCGCACGCTGACACTCATCACCCAGAGACGCCATGCGCGAACTGCAGGCGATTGGGGCGCCGAGCTGCGACTGAGAAAGTCCGTGAAGCAGTCGGCCAAGCAAGATCGCAGTACGTGGCTCGAGAATCTGACAGCTACTGGAGACTGGAGTTGCATCAACAAGATATCGAAATGCAAGGGCCGGCCGCACGGGCGACTTCACAATCGAAACGGCGATCCGGTTGCGACAGACGAGCGCGCGGAGACATTCGCGGAGCACCTCAGCAATATCCAGTGGCACGTGTGCCCTACAATTCTGACGCCAGACACAGACGATGCGAGCTACCAGGCGTTGAACGTGAATCTGGATCGCTTTACGGATGCGGAATTACGGCGTGCCTTACAGAAGTTACGCCCTGGAAGATCTTGCAAAAGAGGGGGCATCCCAGTAGAAGTTTACAAAGCTCTCGCTGCTGAGTCAGGGCACTTGCAGTGGTTGCTCGACATCTGCAATACCGCGTGGGTGGAGAAAAACCTTCCGGATGATTGGTGCGAGTCTCATGTGAGCTTACTCTACAAGAAGGGCGACCCAGCAAATTGCGACATTTGCCGGCCCTTGTCGCTTCAATGCGTCGCCATGAAAGCATCCTCCGCCATGCTCAAGCAGAGGCTCCTGGACGCGGGCGTGGATGAGAGATTGTGGGCGTCCCAATTTGGTTTCCGACCTGGTCGCAGCACCGAGCACGCCATCTATGTTGCCCGGAGGCGCATAGAAACAGCCAGGGCGAAAAAAGGAGGGGCTGTCACCCTGGCGGCGCCGGATTGGAAGAAGGCATTTGACAGCATACACATAGAGAGCCTGCTGGACGCATTACGGCGGATTGGTTTTCCATCTGAGTTCCGGGAGATGGTCGGTGCGATGATGGAGAGAAGGATGTTCGTGGTGAGGGAACGCGACAGCCAGTCCGCTCCCAGACCCGGTTTTCTGGGATCTCACAGGGTTGCACCCTCAGCCCGCTGCTGTTCGTCCTGGTCATGACCGTGCTCTTGCACGATGCCGCCTCGAAGCTTACGGGCGGAGCAAAGGAGGCGCACGTCCAGGACGACTTGTCCGAGTGCGTTTACGCAGACGACACGCTCTTAATCGGTTCCAATGAAGAGCACTTGAACGAGCTTGTTGGTGCTGTTGCCTCCGCGGGCAAGCGCTACGGAATGGAGTTGCATTGGGGCAAGTTCCAGGTGCTCGCAGTTCAGTCGAAGGGCGAGATATACGCCCCTGATGGTACTGCCGTCAACCACGTGCAGCACCTATAATACCTTGGAGCACATCTGTCGGCAGATGCAGACATGGGCCACGAATTGGGCAGAAAAATCGGAGAGGCCAAAAGGAATTTCACAACGTTGCGAAAAGTCTGGTCGCATTCTTCCTTGACCTGGCCACGAAAGCTGCGAATTTACAAATCGACTGTGGAGTCTGAAGTATTATATGGGCTAGCAGGGTCGTGCCTGACAAAATCGCAGCGGCGGCGGTTGGACGGCTTCCAGAACAGGTGTGTCCGGCAGATCATAGGCGTCCGACCTTCATGGATTTCGCGCGTACGGAACACAGACGTGCTGAGCCGTGCAGACCACGCCCCAGCGAGCCAGCAACTTCTACGCCGGCAGCTTTTGCTCTTCGGTCAAGTGCTACGCGCCGATCGAGGACGCCCGCTGCGGACGTGCACGTTCGCTTCCGGCTCACTGACACCACAGACAGATGCTACAACGAGGAGGGTTGGTATGCCATACAAGGAGTTTGCCTGTGAGATGATGAAGCTTTCTGCACGCATGTTTGGTAGCACGGCAGCAGCCGAGGCTGCAGCGCAAACTTGCCAATACGATCGTACTATACGCGCCCTGTTTTAATTCCACGTGCACTCCTCCTCCTCCTCCTCCTCCTCCTCCTCCTCCTCCTCCTCCTCCTCCTCCTCCTCCTCCTCCTCTCCACTCCTCCTCCTCCTCCTCCTCCTCCTCCTCCTCCTCCTCCTCCTCCTCCTCCTCCTCCTCCTGGTCGTCCCAGCGTGACCCATTTGCGCGCCGTTCCCGTTCGTGGTGCCCTGGGCCCCCAGCGCACAAATGCAGCTTCTCACTGGTAGCCGACTGCAGTGGCCCGGCGTGCAGCCAAGGCCCTGGCTCTTCTTTAAGCCAGCGTTCATGCCCACGCACCGCTTGGTGTATGGTTTGTCAGTCAGTCAGGCTGGATACAAAAGGATTCCTTTGTGGCGGTATACCAGAAAGGATGTCTTGTGATACAGAATACAGCATGGTTCCTGCTGAGGCAGAGCACAAAGGGAACGCAAATGATTCAGTTTTGTGGCGCAGCGCACAGACTTGCTATTGCAATTAAGTGCATAGGGAGGGGGCCAACGGAACCGCCAGGTTCCGCTGGCATCTTCTATGTTCTTATTGGGCTCTGTTGGGGGGCTTCTTGGGGGACTTTTTGGGAAGCTCCGCGGCTCCCCAGCGCAGCAACCCACAACAGCAGATAAGAGTGAGGAGGGCGCCTCTCGGGGGGGGCTTCCAGGATGAGGGGGGGATGGTGGTCCCCTCTTCCACGGGTGAGACAGGGGGAGGGGTCCTGAGTTCCCCTGTCCACAAGGAGACCACACCCCTGTCCCCCCTTGTCCCCCTTGTCCACAGGGGGGCCCCCTGGGGAGGAGGTCGCGACCCCTGGAACCCCCGCGGGACCCCCCCCGCTACCCCCCGCCAGGGAAGGGCTCCGAATCAATTACGACGTTGTTTGATTTTTGTTTGGCCGTATCGTTTGAGGACGAGTGCCCAGGGAAAGGGGGGGAGCGGCGACTGCGACGACGACTCAAACGGAAAAGCGTTTCACAAATGCTGACAGGGTCGGCGGATTCTCGGTCCCCCACCTTGGGGCACCCCGCTGCGTGCTGAAGGCACGGTAGCGGATCTCTCACGCCTCGGGCAACAAGGCGTTGAAGGTCAAGGAGGTCAAGGATGGCGGCATTGTCAGGGAGTGGAACCTTGCGAACCCTGGCAGAACCATCGAGAAGGGCGACCTCATCGTGTCGATCAACGGCGTTAAGGACATGGTAGGTAAAGCTTCGGGCTGAGCACAGGCAGCCCCCCCAGGTAACCCCAGCTGGCTTCAACAGGCCCCCCGAGTAGCCCGAGGCAGTCTCAACACCTGGAGGGGCGCTGCCAGAGGCGGGGGGCCTGCTCCTCCGCCTCCTGCTTCTCCTCCTCCTCCTCCTCCTCCGCCCTCCGCCCTCCGCCCTCCTCCTCCTCCTCCTCCTCCCTCCTCCTCCTCCGCCAGAGGCGTTGAGACCGCCCTGGGCCACTCGGGGGGCCTGTCGAGGCCAGCCAGGATTACCCAGGGTCGCTGCCTGCGCGCAGCCCGAAGCCCTTACCTTGCCATCGAGGACGAGTCCGACAAAATCTTGAAGGAGGTCGTTGAGAAGAGCGAGCTCGTCATCGTGGTGAAAAAGGCCTCAGGCGATCGCAAACATGGATCAAGGGCGCGTGGATTAGCGACGTGTCCCGTTTCCGCGGGAAATCGCGGATTTCCGCCGCCGAACGCGGTGGCACCGGCCACATTTTGGGGAGGGCACCTCCCCCGATCCATGGATTTGGCGACCGCGCGCCAAATCCATGGACCGCTAATCCATGTCTGCGCGCCCCCGAACGGAGGGCGCTTCAAGCTGAGCCAGCCGAACGTGCTGGTGTGGGTGCGGCCCAGCTGCGGGTGGCCATGCCCCTGGCGCCGCGTGGGGCGACCCCCGGCGCCGCGACTCCAGCTGTGAGAGACCACGGGCAGATAGTTTCTTGCTGTTATTGCTGCTGCTGTTTTTGGCCTCTGCGTGCCCTCGCCGGGCCTCGGGGCCGTCCACAAACGACTCGGGACGAAAAGCCAGCCCCTGGGGAGGAGTCGAGACCTCCCAGGTTCCACGCTGTGGAAAGACCATGACGTCTGGCAGCGCGGCGCTGCAGGTGCCGCCCGGGGGGCTCAGCGCCGATCGGCCTCCTCCTCGTCCCCCTCCTCATCCTCATCCTCCTCTTCCGTAAGCTCATGCTTACGTAAGCGCTCACCCTTGTCGGCATCCTCTCTTTCACCTCGAGATTCTCACTGCCAGTGTATATTGCTTTCGCTGATCTGCCACTCAGACGGTCAAAGGAACCCGGAGATGGTGACAGGTCAATAGAGCGGCGCGGTCTGTGGCGCGCAGGACTTCCCGTGTGGATGCAACTCTGCCTGGAGGGTTGGTGGGATCAATCCCTCCTCTTCCCCATGCCATGCGCTCCTCATTCCCCTCCCCTTTGCTTGCCCCTCCAGTGCGACCTTCTTCATCCTCCATGCTCGCCCATTCTACTCCTCCATTCTCAGCCGTCCTCTCCTCTTCCATCCCACTCCTCCCCCTCCCCCTGCATGCCAGACCTCTGATCCGACCTTCATCCTGCGTCCTCGCCAACCTTATTCCCTCATCCATCCGCTTCCCTCCTCCATCCTCCTTCATCCTCATCCCTCCTCAATTCCATCCTCCATCCTACTCCTGCCAGAGCACTGAGTCGACCTCTCTCACCGCCCCCAGGACGTGGGCTGCGGAAGCGTTCGTCCGGCGCCTTTCTGCAGCTGCGACGACGGGTGCAAGGACGCGGCGCATCTCACTGGCCCTCACTCAGGAGGAGCAGGAGGGGGAGGAGGAGGGTCTTGCATGGAGAGGGGAGAGGTGGCGGTCTAGGAGGAAGGAGGAGGCGGATAAAGGAGGAGGAGGGAGGAGGAGAGAGGAGGAGAGAGGACGAGGAGAAGAAAGAGGAGGAGGAGAGAGGACGAGGAGAAGAAAGAGGAGGAGGAGGAGGAGGAGGAGGAGGAGGAGGAGGAGGAGGAGGAGGAGGAGGAGACGAGGAGGAGACGAGGAGGAGACGAGGAGGAGGAGGAGGAGGAGGAGGAGGAGGAGGAGGAGGAGGAGGAGGAGGAGGGGGGCCTGTCGGAGGCCTTTCTTGTGGGCCTCTTGGGGGACTCCTGGAGCTTCTTGGGGGCTTGGGGGGACCTGCTGGCGGACCCAGGGGGGTTATGTCGCAGCAGAGGGCCAGGAACATCTCTGGCGGCACCCGATCGGAGGCCCAACAAGGCCTCCCAGCGGCGCTGAGGGCCTCGCTGGGCGTCTGCGGGAGACCTCACAAGGCTCGAAGACGAAGACGAAAACGAAAAAGAAGAAGAAGAAGAAGAAGAAGAAACGACTACATCGGCATGAACCTTCGGAGCTCCGCGTGGATTTCTCGCATCGGCGCCGCCCTTGGCGCGCTCCGCGCGACAGAGAGGGAGGTCCAGCGCCGATCCCACGGGGCACGACGCACGAAACCGGGCGACCCCGGAAGTTGCACCCCACAGCCCCGGAGCGCCGACGGCGGACCAGGGCCCCGGGCCCCGTCTTTCTGCGCCATCCTTCGAGCCGCACGGATCCGTGAGGATCCCCCGGCCCGAAGCAGGGCGAAGTCACCCTGGTGCTCGTTTTTGTTCGTCATTGTTTTGCTGATCTGCGCGAGCCCTTGCACCCCCCCTCCCCCCCTCGTGGAGTGGATCCTAGCTCTTTTGGGAGCAGGTTTCAAGCAGGTAGAGTCGCCCCCCAGAAGACGCACGGTTCCGAACAGCCGCATTCAGCAGAGGTCGGAGCCAGACCCCCCACCTTTCCGCCCAATGTCGAAACGCCGAATAAGAAAACGTTCACCTGCCCGAATAAAAAGGCGACGCCAGGGTCACGGGGGCCTCCTCCTCATCCTTCTCCTCGTCGTCGTCGTCCTCCTCCTCCTCCTCCTCCTCCTCCTCCTCATCCTACCTTTCCCGAAGCAGGGCGAAATCACCCTGCCCTAATAAAAAAGCGACGCCAGGGTCTCACGACGCCGTACGAGGCGGCCCGACACCGCCCAGCGCCGCGCGACGCCGTCCCGACACGGCCCCACTCGGCACGGCCCCACACGGCACGGCCCCACACGGCGCGGCCCCACACGGCGCGGGCCGACACGGCGCGGGCCGACCTTGTTGCCGCCTTGCCCCAGCTGCCGCCCCCGAGCTCTGCAATCCATGCTTGTGATGTTTCAATTTACTTTAGCCTTGATCACCAGAAATAATTCCTAGCTAGCACCAAGAAAGGACTGAGACTGGGGGGGGTTCACGTGTCGGGCCCTGGGGGGCGATACTCGCTCGACAGTGTTTCGACAGCCCCTAAATCTATGCGCACCCCCGAACGCTTGTGTACATCGAGGGAAGAAACACGGGGGCGATGACCGAGATGTTGCGGAGTCTTGTCGACGCCGATCTTGGTCATGGTCATGCCAGTCGTCGCCGATCCGCGGAGGATGATCAACGAATTGACGTTGACCAAGATGGACGGCGGCCAAGACCGACGCCGACGTTCCGCGCTCAATCTTGGTGATGAGCATCGTTATTTTCCTTCCAGAAAGGCCCTGCATCGGCCAGGCCCTGCCCCTGGCAACAGGGCGCCTGCTCGCGAACCGAATCAAGCAACGCGCGACGAGGGGAGGTCCCGAGGGAGGCGAGCCGAGTCTGGCGACCCCGCAGGAGCCCCTTTCCTGAAAAAAGGGGCCTCCTTGAAAAAGATGCCTCCTCCTCCTCCTCCTCCTCCTCCTCCTCCTCCTCCTCCTCCTCCTCCTCCTCCTCTTGATGCCGTGGGCTTTGCCTCCTCCCCCTCCTGCTCCTCTCGATGCCCCTACCCCCGCCCATGCCATGGGCTCCTCCCCCTCCTATTCCTCCTCTCCTCCTCCTCCTCCTCCTCCTCTCCTCCTCCTCCTCCTCCTCCTCCTCCTCGTCCTCCTCCTCGTCCGCCTCCTCCTCCTCTCCTCCTCCTCCTCCTCTTCCGCCTCCTCCTCCTCCTCCTCCTCCTCCTCTCCTCCTCCTCCTCCTCCTCCTCCTCCTCCTCCTCCTCCTCCTCCTCCTCCTCCACATCCTCCTCTTTTCCCGCATGCAGGAGCAGACGTTCCGCGTTCAATCCTTGTTCCCCTCCGGTGAATGCCGTTGTTGCTCCTGCGAGGCAGAGGCCCTGCCGGCCTGGCCCTGCCCTGGCCGCCCCGGCGCCCGCCCCAGAGGAAGCCAAGACGTGTTGCTCCGACTACCTGGACGAGTGCGCGGCCCCGGGCGAGGCGCGCGCGCCTGGACAAGAGGAGGAGGAGGAGGAGGAGGAGGAGGAGGAGGAGGAGGAGGAGGAGAGGAGGGAGAGGGAGAAGGAGGAGGAGGAGAAGAGGAGAGGAGGAGGAAGAAGAAGAGGAAAGGTGACGTAGGAGGGAGGAGGAGGAGGGAGGAGGAGGGAGGAGGAGGAGGAGGAGGAGGAGGAGGAAGAGGAGGAGGAGGAGGAGGAGGAGGAGGAGGAGGAGGACCCTGGGGAGGGCGAGCGCGCGGCGGCCCCGGACGAAGCGCGGGTGCCTGGGCAGCCCGCCCTCGCCGACCCTGACGTTTTCGGGTTCGACGTTCGAGGTTCCGGGGCGTTTCCGCTAGATCTCGGCAGTTTTCCAGCCTCGGGATGCCTTCAGCAGCTGCGCCTCGCCGAGGGCGTTTCGGGGGTGCCCAGATCATCCCGAACGGTCGCATGGGGCCAGGGTTATGGCCCGAAACGACCGCTGAGGAGACGAGGGCCATGACCCTGGATCCGTCGTGCCCTGGGCGGTTTCGCAAGTAGGGCGGCAATTTCCGCCCTATTTTTAGAGGTCCTATGATGTCGATGTTCGCCCTACGTTGCCGCCGTTGTTTCCGCTGTGCTTTTGCGGAAATATCCGCCCTATTCCTCCGAGGCGATTCTTCTGAGGCGGCCATGTCCGCCATTTTTTCGCATGGTTTGGGGCGCATGTCCGCCACAATTGTAAGCTGGAGGTCGGATCGGGAGTCAGGGAAGCACAGAGATCCGACGAGGTGATTTTTGTTTTCCCGTGCTTTCTGGAGTTCCCAGTGTTTCCTGGAGGATCTCTCGCCT